CATTCACACACCCCAGCAAGAACAGTCCCAGTTCGTCACACCTGTCTTGGCAGACGTGCAAACTGCACCCTCGCACAACAGGAGCCGTGCAAAGGAGAAGCCCAGACAGCTCAACTAGGTTTGGTAGCAATGTCCTACTGGGGCTGTGAGCATATTCAGAGCAACCTCTTCAAAGGAGGCGATGGGGACGCCCTGGTCATGGTCCCCAGTCCCAGACTGACATGGTCACCTGCCATGTGCTGGGCCTGGGGGGGCTGACGGAGAGGGGGGCTCTGCCTTACAGGGGAAGGGACGGAAGGTGACGACACACAAATGGGGTGATCCTGTGATGGGATGTATCAACCCCGCACTGGGCAAATGGGGCAGGGAGGGCTCGACACGCTGCGCCCCGGGACAGAGCCCGGGGTGAGTGGCTCAGGGCTTGGGGAGCCCATGGGAGTTTGGAAGGGGGGTTCGTATAAATTGTCTCCCGACAAACGGGGCTTAACTGGAATCCCGTCTGATGGGCATCCCAGAAGAAATGGGGCTGAAGGAGGGATTGAAACCTGCTAGCGGCCTTGAGGACCAGCCCAGGATGGGGGCTCGAGCGATGGGGAAGGGAGACAGAGACCCTCACCAGGCTGGGCTGGAGGGGGCAGGGTCACAAGATAAGGGACATGGGTGGGGCTGGAAGGACGGGCAGAGCTACAGGACTTGGTAGGCCAGGAGGAGACATTTACATTTGATGCCCAGGTAAAGGGGGAGCCAGTGGGTAACGTGCTTGGTCTGTGAGCCGGGGGGGGTCGTTGCAGTGGGGGGGATGTGCTTGGTGTGTGAGCCGGGGGAGCGGTGCAGTGGGGGGATGTGTTCAGTCTGTGAACTGGAGGATCATTGCAGTGGGGGGATGTGCTTGGTGTGTGAGCCAGGGGAGCGGTGCAGTGGGGGGATGTGCTCGGTGTGTGAGCCGGGGGAGCGGTGCAGTGACTGTAGTGGGGGGATGTGCTCGGTCTGTGAGCCGGGAGAGCATTGCAGGACTGGGTCAAACCCAGGGTCTGTCTAGGCCAGTCTCCTGTCTGTGATGGTGCCAGCGCCAGATGCCTCAGAGGAAGGTGCAGAAACCCTGCACTAGCAGATGTGATATAATCTGCCCCACCTCCACTTCATTAAGCCCCACCCTGGTTGTGACTGGAGAGCGGTTTAAGCCCTGACGGAGAAGGTTTAATCACCCTGCCAGAATGTTTGTTATCATTAACTGCTCTAGTGCCAGAAACATCCAATCCCTTCACAAGCTTGCTAAACTCTTGGTCTCAGTAGCATCTTGTGGCAGTGAGTTCCACAGGCTATTCACACATTATGTGGGAAAGGATCGCTTGTCATCAGTTTGGACTTTTCCACTTTTTAATCTCATGGAACGTCCCCTTGTTCTTGTGCTCTGAGACGGGAAGAACAGAAGAATCCCTTCTCTGGACCACTCGTTAGATTAGAGATGTTTACCGTGCGCTCCCTTCCCTGGCCCCTCTCCCCATGCTTTCAGTCTTGCTCCAGAGGGGAGTTTTGCTGGGCCCTGGGTCTCATCTCCCCACGTCTGCACCTCGCCATCCTGTGTACCCTTTCCGAGGCTGCAGTGAGCAGGGGAGGAGAAGCCGGGCAGTTGGGAGCCAGAGGGAGGCATAGATACTGCGGAGGCTGCTTGGCGTGTGGGGGTGGCAGGGTGGAGAAGCCAGTGCACCTGCGATGGGGGCAGGCTGGGTGGCGCAGCGAGGGTGGGGGGATTGCCAGGCCCTGTGCAATCACAGGAGGAATGCTCGGCGCTGACTGTGGGCGTGATGAAATCCCACCCCCCAGCCCGCCAGAAGCGCTAACACTCAGCTCTCCAGTCACAGACTAAGGCCGGTGGGTTTGTTTTCCTTTGATCTGCGTTGGCTCATCTCCGGTTGGTGGCTGCCCCCTTCCCGTGCCCTCCCACGCCGCTCTCTGCTCTGGCTTGGGCACGTTCCAGACGTGAACGGCAGAGAAAGAACAACATCCGCCCCGTTCTCCCTGCTGGCCAGCCCGCTGCCCCATGCCGAGCGCTGCGGGAATGTGCAGCCCCGAGCGCGTAGGAGCGCTCCGGGAGCTCTGCTTGTTGGCCAGCGGAGGCCCAGGCACGGTCCCGGCAATGCCCTAGGCAGGTGGAATGGCAGTGCTGATGGGACGTGCAGAGACATGATCGAAACCTGGGAGTTTGGGCTGCTGATGTGCAGAAAACGGAGCGGGGTAATTCAGCCCGCCCGGCCCAAGGGTGTAAGGTACTGGCTTTGCCCTGTAAAGCCCTCAACTGTGGGACCAGCTCAGGGCACGCGGGCTGAGACCTGCCCCTCCGCATGCCTCACGGCCCCAGCTGCACTCCTTGAAGGGGCCTGGGTCCGTGAAGAGCCCTCGGCTCCCGAGCTCTGCCCAGCACCAGCGCTGGAATTCGCTGGGATCAGGGCTCGCTTCCTTTCACCCGAGCTTTGGGCAGGGGGAGGGGAGGCCTTGTTCGGAGGCTTACCTGGCCGTCCATCTGCCTGCTCCCTGGGGAGGCCTGGCAGCTTTGTCAGGGTTGGGGTGACGTCCCCGGTGCTGAGAGGCAGGGGGAGGGGCTCCTGGAAAGGCGACTAAATGGAGAATTGCATTGTGGGACGGGTGCGCTCGGGATTGAAGACGGGCAGCCTCCCAGGACTGCCCGGGCCGTGTTTGGCCCAAGGGCTGCACGGTACCTGGGCCACGGGTACATCGGGAGGGGGCAGCTAGCAGCACACGGGAAGCCGGTGAGCTTTGCCCCACGCTCTGGGTCACTGTTGCTAAGCAGGCGGTGACGACTCAGCGCTGGTGCTAGGGAGAACCTAGGCTGTGCAGATGAGCCTGGAATGGCCTAACCGATTGCTCCTGACTCCCTTTGTTTTCTGCCTCCCTTCAGGTCTCTGGCTCCCCTCCTGAGATGTGTTCTCCCAGCCCCGCCCGCAGCCCACCTCCCTTCCATGGGTAGCGCCAGCCTGGCTGAGTTCCTGACGAGCACTCTCAAGAATGGATAGTCCACCCAAGCTGGCAGGAGAAACGCTGATTGTCCATCACATTCCCCTGGTTCATTGCCAGGTCCCCGACCGACAGTGCTGCAGTGGGAGCAAGAGGACCAATCCGTTTTGCCAGCCAGACCTGGGCATCGCGCGGACCGCCTCTCTGCCGGAGCGGGACCTCTCGCAGACGGACTCCCTGGTGTACAGCACCTTGCTGCAGGCCTCGGACGCGCCGCCAGAGGCTGCAGAGGACAAAGAGAGCAAAGCGCGAGACTCGGTCATCCCCGGCGTCACGACACGGCACAATCCCTTCCTCCTGGGCGACAGCGAGGGGCATGGTCTCCTCAGCGACAACACGGGCCAGAAGTCCTTCCACCTGCACAGCTCCATGGTGGCCGGGAAGCCGGCCTTCCAGCTGCACGAGCTGCCGCTGCCGCCCTTCCACCTCCACGACGCCGGCCACGTGGTGAAACCCTGGAGCATGGCCAGCAGGTCCGGCGTGGTGGACGGGCAAGAGGACAAACTCACAAGCGCCGACGTCCAGAAGAGGAACGACGTTGACTGCTGCCCGCTGGCCTCGGAGTGCATGGAGCTGGACGAGTGCAGCTGCCAGCATGGGAGCTTCTCCTTCGAGGGCGGCGACCAGGACTGGAACAATAGCTCTGACGAGTCAGGGAGGAACCCGGGCGCCCTGCACAGCCGGACCTGCAGCTGTTCCAGCACGGAGCTCCCGCACTGCCGGTGCTACAGCACGTCAAGCCAGTCCGAGACCGGGGACCAGCAGATGGGATACATCAGCGACTCTTCTTGCAACAGCTCGGACGGGGTCCTGGTGAACTTCAGTGCCCTCTACAACAAAATGAACGGCCATTCTCGCTCCAACTTGAACTCTGCCAACTTGTCCTGTGACTCTTCCTTCTGCAGCCACTCGGACACCGGGGCCTTTTACCTGGATCTGCATTCGTCACCCCTGGAATCCAAGATGTCTTGTGAATCGCACAACCCGGAGAGCTCGGGGAAAGTGTGTGGGTGCCACCGCCCGTCTTCTCCTGTCTTAGATGCCAACTGCAACTCCTACCACCTGCACTGCGAGCCGTGCACTTCGGAGAGCTCAGACCTCACCGCTTGCTTCCAGAGCCAAGCCCGGCTCGTGGTGGCCACCCAGAACTACTATAAATTAGTCACCTGTGACTTGTCTTCCCAGTCGTCGCCTAGCCCTGCGGGCTCTTCCATAACCAGCTGCTCTGAAGATCACACCAAAGCGAGCCCTGTCCAGCCCTCGGAGTACTACTTGTTTCGAAGGCCCGATGCCCAGCCGGAGGAGAGCGATGGGGAATGCTTCATGGCGGAGACCAAGGGCGAAGCTGTGAAAAACACGATTGAGGGGCAAGTGTATGTCAACATATCCCCGCCTAACCTGAACGCCGGCCGGCCTCGCTCCAGGAGCTACGATCGGAACCTGGACCGGAGCCCCACGAGCCGGCTGGGCTCCCTGGAGCGCATGATGAGTTGTCCGGTCAAGCTGAGCGAGAGCCCAGCGCTGGCGATTCAGAGCTCGCCCCCGAAGCGGGTGACTTCCTTTGCTGAGCTGGCGAAAGGCAGGAGAAAGAACGGCTCCTCCCCGCCGCTCAGAACCAGCGGTGACTCCTCCTTGGAGTTCTCGCCCATCCCCGAGTTCCAGCGGGACTGCCCAGGGCTTCTCGAGGACGGAGCGCGACGCTGCCAGAGTCTCCCGCCCATGCCTTTTGGCCATTGCCTGAACCGGAGCTGCGAGGGCTACCGTGTGGAGCACAGATTCGGGGATGGCCCGAGGGCGTGTCCCAGCAAAGACTCAGGTGCCAACGGCCATGGGGCAGCCGAGCAGGCCTCTCTCTCTCTGCTGATGGAGGCTGGTGCCAGCTTCTCAGGCAGCCCTGCCAGTGGGCACGGACAACGAGATGTTAGAGCCAGAGCGGATGGTAAGGAACCAAATACGAGATTAAAATAGACCAGCAAATGCTCCCCTTTGATCCCCCCGAGGGAGCAGCAGAGAGAGGCTCTGGGGAGAGGTGATTTAGGGCTGTGCCATCATTTGAATCCACTGAGGAAAAGCGCTGTCGTGCGAGGACATGTAACGCCCCTACCCCCAGGCCAGAGCTGGTGTCACGGAGTGTGGGGGAGTCAGGGCCATGCACCCCTCTTCCTGCGATTCACCATGACTCTCAGCCAGCCAGTAAAATGGAAGGTTTATTGGACAATAGGAACGCAGGCTACAACAGAGCTTGTAGGTACAGCCAGGACCCCTCAGTCAAGTCCTTCTGGGGGGTTCAGGGAGCTTAGACCCCAGCCTCGGGGTTCCCTGCGTTGCATCACCCAGACCAAACTGAAACTAAAAACCCTCCAGCAGCTCTCTCCCCCATCCCCTCTGCTCCTCCTCTCCTTTGTCCAGTCTCCCGGGCAGAAGGTGTTAATTCTCCCCACCCCCCTCCTGGCTCAGGTTACAGCTCAGGGATCTTCCTTCAAGGGAAGTCCCACATCCCCACTGCAACCCCCCTGCAACATTCCCAGGTCAAATCCCCCTTTCCCCCCCCCCCCCCGCCTCCCTGTTGCGTCACAGCGTTAATTAGGGAAAGCACCACACCCAGGATTCATAAACCTAAACCATGAGCAAAAGACCCACCCCAAATTGGTCGGGCAGTGCCCTTCCTCCCCAGGGTCTTAACTCCAGCAACCCAAACGTCCCTTTAATGTGCCCGGCCCCTCTCTGCACCCCACTCACAGGCGCTGTCCTTGGTCAGTGCAGACGCAGAGTTCACTTCCCCCTGGGGAGTGGGGTAAGGAGGCACCTTACTCGCTCCGCTGCCCGGGCGCCTGCTGCCCCTCTGCACCAGCCGCTCTCTTGTGCCACCTCTCCAGCCACTCGGTCACCAGCCAACTGTTACGGCACATCCATCTTTTGGTGATTGTCAGCACTGTACAGGAAGAACAGGGGTACTTGTGGCACCTTAGAGACTAACAAATTTATTAGAGCATAAGCTTTCTTCGGATGCATATAGAAGTGGGCTGTAGTCCACGAAAGCTTATGCTCTAATAAATGTGTTAGTCTCTAAGGTGCCACGAGTACTCCTGTTCTTTTTGCGGATACAGACTAACACGGCTGCTACTCTGAGCACTGTACAGGCTTTCTTTGAACAGTGGAGGGAACAGGTTAAACCAGACCAGGGAGGACCCCTGACTGGGTACAAACTCCTGCCCAGAGATTCCTACCCCCACCCCTCTTATTTTCCCAAGGTGCTGACATTCAAGCCCCTGACTTAATAAGGTTGTTTCAACTGAGGGTGACAGGTTAAGCACAGTCATTTGGGACAGGTTAAGCACAGTCCTGCTTTCCTGTATTCCTACAATAATTACAACGTTGGGAACCATATTTCACTCCCCAGCGTTCAGTACTAAGGTGAGTTGTACCCAACATCAGCCAAAGTTGATCACTTTTTGCTGAATACGTAAGCGGAGCAGGAGCAAACTGTATTTACATAAACACACCCACGTCTCCCCCCTCCCAGCTCGCTGTCAGGGAAGGATTCATTCAGCCCCTGCTTACACAGGGGCCTGGACAATGGGGGAGTGCTCTGGGGCCTGGCCCCAGCGGACGGCGCGGTGGGAGCTGGGCTTGTTCATTCTGTGCACTAGTGCATGGAAAGCTGCTGCCGAGCCCGGACCTCACAATGAACTGGACTAAAAGCCCTGTTCAAATCACCCTGGGGGTGAAGGCCTGAGGCTCCCCACAAGCACCAGGGGCCCAACACGAAGGGGTTCTTCCTGGGCCTTTGCAGCTGGGCCCCTCTGGGCCACGCAATCCCACCGTCCCATTGCACTCATGTCGTGCTTGGGGAGCACCAGGTTATACACAGCTCTGGCAGGGGAGCCCTGCCCCATAGGCCTGGTCCAGTACCTAGGGTTGTCAACCCTCCAGGATTGGCCTGGAGTCTCCTGGAATCGGCATCGATCTCCCGGTGACTGTTGAAAGCAATTGGAGATTTTAATAGGATATTTTAAGACAATGACATGAGGTCCTGTTGGGGAAGAAAATCTCCCGGAATAGTTTCAGTCTGAGTTGGCAACCCTACCAGTGACAGCAGCCAGAGAGCAGGGGAGGCTGTGCAGAGCCCTGGCCTGGTGGTGCTGGGAACGACCACGGCCAGGGCTCGCTCGCACTTAGAATCATAGAATCTCAGGGTTGGAAGGGACCTCGGGAGGTCATCTAGTCCCACCCCCTGCTCAAAGCAGGACCAATTCCCAACTACATCATCCCAGCCAGGGCTTTGTCAAGCCGGGACTTAAAAACCTCCAAGGAAGGAGATTCCACCACCTCCCTAGGGAACCCATTCCAGTGCTTCACCACCCTCCCAGTGAAATAGTGTTTCCTAATATCCAACCTGGACCTCCCCCACTGCAACTTGAGACCATTGCTCCTTGTTCTGTCATCTGCTACCACTGAGAACAGCCGAACTCCATCCTCTTTGGAACCCCCTTTATGGTAGTTGAAGGCTGCTATCAAATCCCCCCTCATTCTTCTCTTCTGCAGACTAAACAATCCCAGTTCCCTCAGCCTCTCCTCATAAGTCATGTGCTCCAGACCCCTAATCATTTTTGTTGCCTCCGCTGGACTCTCTCTTGCTGGACTCCACTTGATACCAGCTGCCAACTAGACACGGAGCCGTTGATCACTACCCGTTGAGCCCGACGATCTAGCCAGCTTTCTGTCTACCTTATAGTCCATTCATATAATCCATACTTTATTAACTTGCTGGCAAGAATACTGTGTGAGACCATATCAAAAGCTTTGCTAAAGTCAAGATATATCATGTCCACCGCTTTCCCCATATCCACAGAGCCAGTTATCTCATCATAGAAGGCAATCAGGTTGGTCAGGCATGACTTGCCCTTGGTGAATCCATGTCGACTGTTCCTGATCACCTTCCTCTCCTCCAAGTGCTTCAAAATGGATTCCTTGAGGACCTGCTCCATGATTTTTCCAGGGACTGAGGTGAGGCTGACCGGTCTGTACTTCCCCGGGTTCTTCTTCCTTCTTCCCCTTTTAAAAGATGGGCACTACATTTGCCTTTTTCCAATCATCCAGGACCTCCCACAATCACCACGAGTTTTCAAAGATAATGGCCAATGGCTCTGCAATCACATCAGCCATTTCCCTCAGCACCCTTGGATGCGTTAGATCTGGACCCATGGACTTGTGCATGTCCAGCTTTTCTAAATAGTTCTTAACCTGTTCTTTCACCACTGAGGGCTGCTCACCTCCTCCCCATACTGTGCTGCCCAGTCCAGCAGTCTGGGAGCTGACCTTGCCTGTGATGACCGAGGCAAAAAAAACATTGAGTACTTCAGCTTTTTCTACATCATCTGTCACTAGGTTGCCTCCCTTCATTAAGGGTCCCACACTTTCCCTGACCTGTTTCTTGTTGCTAACATTGCTGTAGAAACCTTTCTTGTTACCCTTCACATCCCTTGCTAGCTGCAACTCCAGTTGTGTTTTGGCCTTCCTGATTTCACTCCTGCATGCTCTAGCAATATTTTTATACTCCTCCCTAGTCATCTGTCCAAGTTTCCACTTCTTGTAAGCTTCCTTTTTGAGTTTAAACTCACCGAAGATTTCACTGTTTAGCCAAGCTGGTCGCCTGCCATATTTACTATTCTTTCTACACATCGGGATGGTTTGTTCCTGCGCTCTCAATAAGGCTTCTTTAAAATACAGCCAGCTCTCCTGGACTCCTTTCCCCCTCCTATTAACCTCCCAGGGGATCCTGCCCATCCGTTCCCTGAGGGAGTCAAAGTCTGCTTTTCTGAAGTCCAGGGTCTGTATTCTGCTGCTCTCCTTTCTTCCTTGTGTCAGGATCCTGAACTCGACCATCTCATGGTCACTGCTGCCCAGGTTGCCACCCACTTCTACTTCCCCTACCAATTCTTCCCTGTTTGTGAGCAGCAGGTCAAGAGGAGCATGGCCCCTAGTTGGTTCCTCCAGCACTAGCACCAGGAAGTTGTCCCCAACACTTTCCAAAACTTCCTGGATTGTCTGTGCATTGCTGTATTGCTCTCCCAGCAGATGTCAGGGTGATTGAAGTCCCCCATGAGAACCAGGGCCTGTGATCTGGAAACTTCTGTTATTTGTCCGAAGAAAGCCTCGTCTACTTCATCCTCCTGGTTGGGTGGTCTATAGCAGACGCTCATCACAACATCACCCTTGTTGCTCTCGCCTCTAAACTGAACTCAAAGACTCTCAACAATCTTTTCTCCAGTTTCATACTGGAGCTCTGAGCAGTCATACTCCTCTCTCACATACAATGCAACTCCCCCACCTTTTCTGTCCTGCCTGTCCTTCCTGAACAGTTTATATCCATCCATGACAGTACTCCAGTCATGTGAGTTATCCCACCAAGTCTCTGTTATTCCAATCGCATCATAGTTCCCTGACTATGCCAGGACTTCCAGTTCTCCCTGCTTGTTTCCCAGGCTTCTTGTGTTTGTGTACAGGCACCTAAGACAACTAGCCGGTTGCCCTACTTTCTCAGTATGAATCAGGAGGCCTCCCCTGTTGCACCCTCCTCCTTGTGTTTCCTCCCAGTATCCCACCTCCCCACTTACCTCTGGGCTTAGGTCTCCATCCCTCAGCGAACCGAGTTTAAAGCCCTAGGTTAGCCAGCCTGCCTGCGAAGATGCTCTTCCCTCAGGTGGCTCTCTAGAGGTGCCCCCAAGAGGAGGCAACCTTCCTTCTCCTCCCCGCCCCCCGGAGCTGCAGGCCGGGCACCGTGCGGGGAGATGCCCGTGTTCTGGGGCCTCCCTGCCCTTCACTGGCAAAGTCCTGGCCTTCCACGGTCAGGCTCCTGCCCTGTATTTTCCCTGTTTTCCCTGAGTCTGGGTTGTGTCTTAGCAATTGCACCTGTCTCTGTCTCTGCCAGGGGCTTCCCCCTCCCTCCCCGGAGCTCTCCTGCCCCGCCAGCATCTCCCCCAACAGTGGCGTGCTGGGAGCGGGCTGAGGGCACCCAGGCTGAGGGCACCGAAGGTGGCGGAGGGGACAGGAGCTGGCTGGTGGTGATGGGGGGGGGGTGACTGCTAGATCCTGAGCAGTGCGTGGAGTGGAGGAGGGGGTTGTGGTGTCCCGCTGGGGGAGTTGCAGGAGCTTGGGGTGAGGCTATTCTGGGCCCCAGGCAGGGTGGAAGTGGGGTGGTTGGGGGCTTGCAGGGGAGGAGGCGAGCGAGTGGGAGCCCCGCGGGCTGGTGGGGGCGCAGGGCAGGGCTGGGAATGGTGCAGCAACTGCTGAGGGAGTAGGTCCCCTGGCCCCCATTGACGACTGTCTCCCCGCAGCCCGGGGGCCCTACACAGCAGCGGATGTCAGCAAGGAGGCTGCCTGTGGCTCCAGCCCGCGGCTCCTGCCCTTCCCCGCTCTGGTGCCGGCTGGGCTGAGCTCCCCCTCACGCTCCCCGTCTCTCCCGCAGGCGGCGGCGCGGACAGCAAGGCCGTGGTGCGGTACAGCAAGGAGCAGCGTCCCACCACCCTGCCCATCCAGCCCTTCGTCTTCCAGCACCACTTCAGCAAGCAGCCCAAGGCCCGGGCCCTGCACAGCCACTTCGCTGCCAGCCTCTCGCAGCTCTACGGCGCCTCCAGCAGCCGGCCCGCCAGCCAGCAGCCCTCCTCCAACTCCCAGTCCTCCGCCTCCGCCACCTCGGCGGAGCAGCCCGGGGCCGCGGGGGGGCTGGCGCATGGCGCGCTCCTGGCCCAGCGCTCGGTGGATGGAGCCGCCTCCCTCGGCGACGGCTACGCCAAGAAGCCGGCCCCGGAGAGCACCCGGCCGTCCCCCCTCGGGAGCTACTCCCCGGTGCGCAGCACTGCCCCTTTCTTCCAGAGCCTGGACTCGTCCTGCTCGCCCACCCCGGAGAGAGCCGGCGAGAGCCACCCTCCCCGCAGCAGGTCCTGCCCGCTCTCTGCCAACCTGCTCCCCACCAGGGCCTCCCCCTCTGCAGGTGCCGCGCTGCCCGCTCAGGCTGATGCCCTGCACCGCCAGGAGAGCCCCCGGCCGGTCCCCAGGAAGGAGGCGCCGTTGGAGCAGAGGGCGCAGGTCTCCGAGTACCAACTCCATGACGGCTCCCTCCCACCTCTGGCATCCGAGGGGGCGAGTGCCAGCCGAGCGGGGGGCCCTGCGGAGCCCCAGTGGAGAGGCAGCAGTGAGGCCGGAAGTTCGGGGTCGCTGAGCAGTGTGGGCACGCGGCCCCTCAATGGTACGTCCCTACTGCAGGGCACTGACTGTGGGTCAGCCCCGGCCAACACGCCCCTCGGTGCCTTGCGCTGAGCGCCCAGACCCTGCCAGAGCCGCCCCATTGCTACAGCCTGGCCCTGAGCGACCCCCCCAGACCCCCCTCCGGCTCTGAGCCCCTGGTGCCAGGGCGGGCCGGCAGCGCTGCAGTCTGTGTGCACCCGCTGCCCCCAGCCGGGAGATTTCTCAGCATCGGCCTGTCCTGTCCTTACTGCTCAGCCCTGGTTCCTGTTCCCTCCTCACACAAACCCACTAACATCTCTGAAGTGCTGCTGGATTGTAACTAATGTGCTGTGTCTGTCTCTGTCCTTTTCCCTGTCTCTCTCCCTCTCCACCCCACACTGGTCCCCGTCACCCTCCACCGCTAGCAAACCACCTCTCCCCTCAAGCGCTGAAGTGGCGGGAGTACAGGCGGAGGAACCCGCTGGGCCTGGACCGCGGCTCGGGGCTGGCTGGGTTAGCAGGCAGCCTGGACAGGAGGCAGCAGGAGCCCCAACTCGCCCGGAGGAACCCCATCTTTGAGTTCCCTGGTTCCCTCAACACCGGCCACGTTCACGGCAGGCTGAATGGTGCGCCTCTACCTCGCTGGTGGGGGGCAGCATGGGGGACGCTCCCCCGGCTTCTGCCCCACTGGGCCAGGCCAGGTTAGATGGACCCTGGCCTCCGCGGGGCCTGCTGGCCCTGGCCACGGTGCCCGTCCCGGGGGGGCGTGAGGAACACACCTGCGGTCGTGTGGGGAAGGGGAGGTGTGAGCTTATCCCCACTCTGCACAGCAGGCAGGGAGCGGCTCTGAGCACACGTCCCCAGCTCTGGCCAGGCAGAGGTGCTCCTAGGGCAGGCGCCTCGGTACCACGTCAGAACCGGCCAGGAGCCCCTGGGCCAAAAAGGAGCCTGTGGCAGCCACCTCCATTTTCCCACGGCCCTTGGAGCCGACGGGCCCTGTGTCCCACGGTCCGTCTGCGCAGCTCCCGGCGGGGCGCTGTCTGCGGGGAGCTCCAGCTTCCCGGGGCAGCACTGGGAAGGAGCAGCTGGTGTTGGGCTGCCCTGCGCGGCAGGGTGTGCATCAGTCACCGCTGCTCCGTGCCGCCAGCCCCCCAAACACTGTGCGAGGGGAAGGGAGAGGCAGGCTGCCCTGTGCCCAGGCGTGTCTGGCCAAAGCAGAACGACTCCCCCGCCCAGCGTCCCCAGGGGCACCGTCTGGGCCGGGGGCAGAGCTTCCTTGGGGCCCCCGGCCTGCTTGACAAACATACCCGCACCACGGCCAGGAAAGGGCAGGGGAGAAATGCACTAACAAGCCAAGGCATCGTTTTCCCCTTGGAGACACGAGGGGGTGGGAGTGGCATGTGCCACTAGCAACGGTTCGGAGCAGCTGCACGGCCTGGCGGGGGTGTTATTCTGTGTGTGGCTCTGTCGGGCGGCGAGCTCACGTCCTCCAGGCCAGGGGCTAGGATGCAGGGCAGCCCTGGAAGTCTGGCCTGGGGCCTGACACCCCCCAGCCAGTGAGCAGAGGGGCCAGGTTCAGCGTCCCACGGGTCTGTGGCTGCTGCAGCCCGGGCCTGGCCGGTGTTTGTGTGCTGTGCGAGCCGAGGGGGTGACGAACACGGGACAGGAGGCCCATCAAGTCACTGTCCGACTGGGGGCCCGATGAGGTGAGTGCCAAGCCAGTAGCCATGCTGCACTGCCCCCGGGCCGGGCCAGGCCTGGCTGTCTGGCAGGTACCTTTGGAGCCAGTCGGTGCATTCCCAGCCGGGCCTGGGGCTGTCTTAGCGTGCGGGCGTCTGTCTGATTGCGCTTCCTGTCTCCGGGCCCTGCAGGTCAGCCTGTGAAACAGCTCCAGCTGGGCTACGCTGACTTCTTCCCGGAGTACTTCTCGCTGGCGGAGAAGCCGCCGGCCGAGTTCTGCCTCTCCCCGGATGGCAACACGGAGTCCATCTCCATCGACCTGCTGCAGAAGAAAGGTAGGGGGGGTCTTGCCTCAGCCGGGGTCGGAAAGCACAGCGCAGGGAGAGGCAGTGCAGCCGCACGGCACGGCCAACCCCGAGCAGAGTCAGTGCTTTGAAACCGCCCCCGGGCCCTGAGCCCCCGCGCCCTACCTCTGCCCCACTGGCCACGCAACGGTCACCCTAGCTAGGTCCCTGATGGGGCCGCCCATGTCCTGTTCCCTGCTCGCCAGTGCTAACGGATCCACAACCGCGGGGTAGTTCCTGTGCCTCGTAGTGACATCACAGTAAATCGAGCCCTGCCCCAGGGACAGAGCCTGGCATGGTCCCCAGCCCCCAGCATGGCCCCCAGGGGCAGTGCCCCTTTCTGGGCACAGCCCTTGGCTCCAGCAGCGGCTCGGCACGCCAGGAGCCAACAGCTAGCGCTGGTGCCCTACGACTGCGCCGGGTGAACCTTCCCCATCTGTGTAATACCCAGTGCCCATTCGCCAGGCAGCCGCAGGGCATGCGGGTGAGGGGCGCTGACTCTGCTCCTCGCCAGACACGGGGCATCAGCTGGAGTCCTAGGGACGCGCTTTCACCCGAAACAGCGCTTGGGCTGGGCATGTGCAGGGGGCTCCCCCGCCAGCCCCCCCTGACGCCGTCTCTGTCCTCTAGGGCTGGTGAAGGCCATCAACACGGCCGTCGATCTGATCGTGGCTCACTTCGGAACGAGCCGGGAGCCGGGGGTGAAGGTAAAGCAGCGCCCGCCCGCCCTGCCCCACTGACCTGCGCCGGGCTGCCTTCATAGAATCATAGAATCATAGATTATAGGACTGGAAGGGACCTCGAGAGGTCATCGAGTCCAGTCCCCTGCCCGCATGGCAGGATCAAATACTGTCTAGACCATCCCTGATAGACATTTATCTAACCTACTCTTAAATATCTCCAGAGACGGAGATTCCACAACCTCCCTAGGCAATTTGTTACAGTGTTTAACCACCCTGACAGTTAGGAACTTTTTCCTAATGTCCAACCTAGACCTCCCTTACTGCCTTTCCTGGCCCTCCCCCCCTCCTTCCAGCGGGGCAGTCGGGCCAGGCCCTAGGGCTGGGCAGTAGGTGGGGGCGGGCAGTGCTGCTGTTGGCCGTGGAGCTCACACCCTTGGGGATCGTAATATTTCCACAACGGTACAAAATGTGCAATTTGTTAAACCTTCCTCGGTGCCCCCCAGCCGCCCCCCACCGCTGGCCCCGGGGACGAGTGTGCTGGCCCCAGCTCACCTGGGCTCCACCCCGGCCCTGGCTGACACTTGTGGGGCCTACACAGATTAGCTGGAGGCCTGATGCCACAGAGGGGTCGCCCGTACCCAGCACTGGCCTTCGCCTGAGAAACGGCCCTTCCCTGGCCCGAGGGGCTGCGTGGGAGACAGCCTGACCGGGCGTGGCCCACTCGCTGTGGGGAGCTGCCAGGGGCTCAGCGCTGCACATCTCAGAGCTGTTTGCGTCTCACAGTGACCCAGGCAGGCCAGCCTGTGTGTACAGCCTCCATCCCGCACCCCTGGAACTCCCCGCAGCAGGAGGCTGAGCACCCGGCAGTGCAGTGACTAACCCTCTCCCTCCCACGTGCTTTCTGCCAGGCCAAGCTCGGGAACAGCTCGGTGAGCCCCAACGTGGGGCACCTCATCCTGAAATACCTGTGCCCGGCCATCCGAGATATCCTGAGTGACGGGCTCAAGGCCTACGTCCTGGACGTGATCATCGGCCAGCGGAAGAACACGCCCTGGAGCGTGGTGGAGGCGTCCACCCAGCTAGGTACCGTTCGGCTCGGCCCCGGGCTGAGGTTGGCTCCGACGCGGCAGTCGCTCGCCCCTGGGCCAGGAACCCCCCTAGCTCTGCACCCCGCCAGGCAGGGCCTGGGCTGATGGCAGCCACGCCCCGGAGCAGGCGGCTGGTCTGGTTAGAGGGGGAATTTCACAGGGCCCGGGCACTTTGGGGCGCACCCTGCCCTTGTGTGAAGGGGAGTGAGGGAGGCCTGTTGGCCTGTGCATGCCCCGGGGGTGCGAGTGGACCTGGGCTGCCCCTGCCCCTGCTCCGCGGCTAATCCCCAGCCTGTCCCCGTGTCTCCCAGGTCCCTCCACCAAGGCGCTGCATGGCCTTCACAGCAGGATCAGCCAGTTCGCCGAGCTGACCAGCCACAGCATGAGGTTCAACGCCTTCATCTTCGGCCTTCTCAAGTGAGTGAGCCCCAGCGCGCCGCGCCGCTGTGCTGCC